GCAAAACTCCGCATTTGAACAGTCAATAGCAAATACTTAAACTAATAACAAAACAGTAGCTGATTCAGAAGCGCCAGATTGTCATAGCAAGGTCAAAATTACCTCCTCTCCTAGGTTCACGAAACGGTTGTCCATAAAATGCATTGCTGTTCTGTTGTAAGTAATCTTAAAGATTCCTAAATGCATCTACTTTCGGAAGGCCAAATAAAGTGCTTTTGCTTTTGCCTAGAAACACACAGCGTCTCCCTGACATGCTGCTTCAACACTAACTGCGGTTACTGAAACCACGCCTTCTTTCTTTGCGTGAACATTTGGGCGGCATTATGCAAATATTTCCACATAGTGAGGTAGATATGTGGGGGCGTGTTAGAACGAGCCGTTTTAGGAGGCGTGGCAGAGTCTTAACTTTGATCAAGAATATCTCTTTGGTTTTGAGACTTTAGTCTTTGCAACTTCCGGGATCTCATCTATGCACAATCAGCTTGTAACACTCCAAAGAGAAAGGAAAACTTGAAATCGCATCATATGACCCCTTTAATAACTGAGTACCAATAACAATTGAGCAGCAAATCAGCATATTAGAATGATTTCTGAAGGATCATGTGACACTGAAGACTGAAGTAATGATGCTGAAAATTAAGTTTTCCAAAATATATTCAAATAGAAAACTGTTGTTTGAAATTGTAATAATATTTCACAATATTACTGTATATTTTGATCAAACAAGTGCAGTCTTGGTTAGCAAAAGAGACTTCTTCAAAAACATTTAAAATCCTAACTTTTGGACACCATTGTATATCTAAGTTTTTTTCTACAATCTGCTCGCTTAGATTTTGGAGGACATCCTTCTCCTGCTCTGTCAGTGCCAAAGCGGTGGGCTAGAGTCAGTAGAGCTGACCTGTTTTAACCTGGCTGCCAAAACTCGTGGAAATGCTGGGATGGCGTTCATCTCCGATTAAGAGCTTACAGTGTTCCTGCTGAGAGCAATGATGGGACAGCGGTGCGGGCAAAGAGCTGACATTTGAAATGAGCTAATGAAATACCCATAAAGTCTCAAGGGGAGTGTGTCTTTTACAGCACAAGTGGCCTTAAATACTTTATGCAAGTGCATCTTTAGTGTTTGCGTGCCTTGAGGTTGTGTGTATGAGCTTGTCTGTAGGGGTGAGGTGGCTACTTGTCACACATCAAAACAGGCAAGCTGCATTTAGTGGCAGCGTGCTCCTGAACAAAACATGAACTGTATGGACAAGCAAGGATATGAGCAGTCTTTATTTCCAGCCCCTAGCCAGTCAGCAAATCACAGTCACTTGATCATCAGGCAGAGGAGACAACAAAACTAATGTGCACTGTGGAAAAGACTCACAAACCAATGGAGTTATTTTATACCATAAAATCATGAGAGTGCATGACATAATTTATGCCTCCATCTCATGCCTTCTTTTATCTCACTAAAGAGAAGGTGAGTATTATTTCAAGGTCACCCAGAGTTGTGGGATGTGCTCAGACATGTGGTCACCCAGACTCTCTGTATCTCTCCAAGTCTACGATTGGGTCATTACACCAAAAAAAATTAAAATAAATAATAATAATAAATTCAAAATTCTGTGAGTAAACAATGACTTATAATAGTTATTTTTCTTTCCACAAAAAAAAATATTATTTTATTTATTTTCCTTTTAATTTTTCTATGCGGATTTGTTTTTATCCCATTCCAATAAATAAATAAACATATTTATTTATTTATTTACTTAAATATTTAACATTTTTATAATATACATATAATAATATATTTTTAAATACAGTTTATATTACATACATAGTATTTTGTATTTATTCTATGTAAATATTTTCAAATGTGTGTGTGTGTGTGTGTGTGTGTGTGTGTGTGTGTAAAATCATTAAATTCTATTTTTAGAAATTGCTAGTAATTGCTAAATGAATTATAAACTAAATTGTCAACAGGCATTGTTATATTCAACTATATAAAGTTTAGTTTTAAAAGTTTTAAACATTTAGCTTCACTTAGTCGTTTTTCTTTGGCATAATGTTTAAAATCTTACAGAAATTTACTAAATTGTACTTTTTTTCCAACAAAAATCATCTCTTCAAAATGGAAAACACACCGTTTTGTGGAATGACCCGGTTGGCATGGTTGTGTTTATCACTGATTTCTCAAATGATCAATCAAAATCAAGAGTCACCGATGGGCTCATTGGGATCATTTGACCATTTTGCAAACTGCATTGGACTATGCCTAAGCTGGTTTACTGGTCAGTAAGCTGGTTTTAAAGAGGTTTGGGATACTTTTCACGCTGGATGTCCAGCAAACCATCGTTTTAAAAAAAAAAAAACACAGATAACAGCATTTCTCAATGAACTCACCCGTGCGTATTTTGAGGAATACGGGTCCTCAAAGAGTGCCCACGTCTTCTTTTGCCATCTGCTCCAGCGCCCGGACCTGTTATCGGGCGAGTCGCCTTGCGCCAGTCTCCGGGTCATCTCAACACCCTCATCCCCCTCGGCCGCCTCAGCTACCCCCTCAGGCTCCAGGTCTTCATGTCCGAGTTCAAGAGCACCCCCGGCGAAACTGTCCAAAGCCTCCTCCGCCTCTCGATGCTGCCGGTAGGTCATCCAACAACACGGTTCCACGTCCGTCTCGTCGATCCCCCAAAACGCCAGCTCCTCCTCATACAAAGGTCCGCACACGTCCGCCGGGCAATGCAGCTTGCCCGTGCGGTAATAGTTAAGAATGTGGGCGAAAACGCCGGGGTGACGATCGAAGAAAAACTCACCGATATTCGCATCATAATCGAAGTTATTAGGCGCGTCGGGCTCCGCCAGCCAGGAGAGTCGAGTGCCGGGCAGGGTGCGCAGGGTGCTGCGGTAGGTCTGGTGCTTGATTCCTCCGACGTTGATCACGATGCGATCCTTGTCGTCCCCTTGGCCCATCGCGTACCTCTCTAGTCATATCTCCAACCCATGGACCGTCATCATACCGCTGGGACCCATGTTCAGAAAATTCAAATGTGTTTTCGATCGTGCCAGGTGCGTCTCAAAGTGTCCATGCCAACAATAGAAATCCAAAACCCTTCACACACTTGAATGACTTCTAAGGACAGATGCGAACGCGTTTTCCCTCCAATAAGCCAATATCCTGACCCCCCGGCTCGGGTTTAAGGGAGTCAGGAAGGTTTTTTACGGTGTCATTGGGCGCAAGGTGGTGCTGAACGGACAGCGCCAGTCATCCGTCGAGCCTTCATAACTCGAGTGTCCCTATTGTGTTACAGCTTCTCTTGGAAAAAAGAAGAAGAAAAAACGCTACACGTCCTCTTTCTTTGAGAACGAACAGACAAACCAGCAGCAGCAGATCTAGCCTCCAGCAGTTCTAGTGGCCTTCAAAAAGGTAGGCACAATCGATGGTGCTTTGGATAGCCCGAAGTCCCATTGAAGCGATTCGCTAGTGATGACGGTCTGAAGAAACAGGCGTCGCAGCAACAAGGGAGGGTCTTTCATTCACAGGACCAGAGCTCAATCTAAAATGTGTTTCCACGCGAACAAAAACGCAACATGTTCTCAGGGTGGAAGACAAAATACATGGCAACCAGTTTTTGCATGTAGTCCTTGAAACGAACTAGAATCTATTATGTTACTAGCGCTAATAGTAGGTAGGCTCCTGAAAATATCACTATACAATGCATTCTTTGTCCTTCAAAAAAATGTACATCTCATATTCAACAACTATTCAAACGACCTGGTTACTGTAATTAGCCGTAAATACTAAGTATACTACTAAGTACTAAATGCTAAATACTAAGTAAACAGCTATTGTAAGTTGTGTGCTTACTAATGTAGGCTTAAAATTGTGTGCTAGTGTACTATAATAAAGGTGTATCTAATAAGTACGCTGGAAAGTGAAATAGTTATTATTAAAAAATAAATACTAGTACTAGAACTGAAACAGAACCATACATCTGAAGTGAAAGTTAATATTTAAACCAAAGGACTCCACTGAATTCATTAGTTGCTTTTCACTACAGGAATTATGGAAGCTTATTTCCACCACATAATTAACAAAAATAAAAATAAAAAATTATCACACAATTTTGAGTTTTTACTGCAATTGTGAGTTTATAGATCACAATTCTGATTTTAACTAAATGTGATAGTTACTCTGAGGAAAAAAATTTATCTTATTTAACCCTTAAATTGCTAATGTATCCAGGAGATTACAGACATTGTACAGAAAGGACAGTGAGTGGCCTATTTTCCGAGAATATTGAAAAGGGGGCCCTGTAATAACTCGTGTGACTTGGTAAAAAAGGTCAATTCACCATCTTTATCCAAAAGTAACACGGCACCATGCTGTGACCAGGCTGCTGATCTTGAGGTAAATGTTCCTGGGAGATACAACCTGTAAACTTGAAAATAAAAACAATAACCATCAGCGCCATCTGCTGTCAGAGAGTGAATGTGCATTTTCATTCAGCATGTCTCCTTCACTCCTCCCATCATGCGCTTCTCATCCATTGGGCTTGTTTACATGAGAGTCCGCATGTGTCTGTGACGCAGCATACAGCGGTGTTGTGCATTTTAACCAGTTTATGGGAAAAGTATTCTTTAAATGCATTTTAAAAAATCTGAATAATTTGTAATAATTATTCATGGTATTTTGAGGTGCCTACCACGATAACAATATCGTGCATGTTCGTTATCGTGATATATCGTATTACCGAATACCGGCACATGTCTACCACAGAACATTATTTTAAAATAATACTTCTTTAGTTTGGTCCATTTATCTCCTTACATTTTTATTTGTCGTCATTCCAGGATTGCGGCATTTTGGGAAAGCCGAGGCGACCTCTGAAGAGGTGTTGGCCTATCTGGAGAGAACATACTGTGGGAGAATCTCAGTGGAAACCACTCAGCTCCAGAGCTTGCAGGAAAGAGAATGGTTTGCAGACCGATTTGAGGAGCTCAAGAAAGAGGCGTTTTCACCGGAGGAGAGGAGACAGCTGGCTAAACTGATGCTTGAGTCACAGGTAACACAGCCATTTGCGTTTAGTCACTTTTCTTTTTTTAATGCCTCGGGATGACTAACGCTTTGACTCCTCCCATCATGCGCTTCTCATCCATTGGGCTTGTTTACATGAGAGTCCGCATGTGTCTGTGACGCAGCATACAGCGGTGTTGTGCATTTTAACCAGTTTATGGGAAAAGTATTCTTTAAATGCATTTTAAAAAATCTGAATAATTTGTAATAATTATTCATGGTATTTTGAGGTGCCTACCACGATAACAATATCGTGCATGTTCGTTATCGTGATATATCGTATTACCGAATACCGGCACATGTCTACCACAGAACATTATTTTAAAATAATACTTCTTTAGTTTGGTCCATTTATCTCCTTACATTTTTATTTGTCGTCATTCCAGGATTGCGGCATTTTGGGAAAGCCGAGGCGACCTCTGAAGAGGTGTTGGCCTATCTGGAGAGAACATACTGTGGGAGAATCTCAGTGGAAACCACTCAGCTCCAGAGCTTGCAGGAAAGAGAATGGTTTGCAGACCGATTTGAGGAGCTCAAGAAAGAGGCGTTTTCACCGGAGGAGAGGAGACAGCTGGCTAAACTGATGCTTGAGTCACAGGTAACACAGCCATTTGCATTTAGTCACTTTTTTTTTTTAATGCCTCAGGATGACTGTAACACTTTGAATAACATGTAACATGTACACACTTGATTCCACTGTCATCAGCAAATGTGCATCTCCTGTGTTCTCTTTTTAAAGGAATTTGACCACTTTTTAGCCACCAAGTTTGCCACTGTTAAACGATATGGAGGTGAGGGAGCAGAGAGCATGATGGGATTTTTCTACGAGCTCTTCCGTTCTGCGGCGTATAGTGGAGTGACAGACGTGGTCATGGGAATGCCTCACCGTGGACGTCTCAACCTCCTCACCGGACTACTGCAGTTCCCTCCAGAGGTTGATACTTGATACTTTTGTTTACAGCCATGAAAACAAAAAGAGAATTGCTAATAAAACAGAATACAAAATTAAAAGTCAAGTAAAACAGTTTCTGAAATATGTAATAAAATAAAATAAAAAAAGCTATTTAAATTCTAATCTACACTAATAAAGTCACAGTAATTAATCTTATGAAAATATCAATTTAAAATTAATTTAAAGGTAAGCTGGAAATACTATATGTTTGTAATGGGAATATTGTTTTAAATTTGAAAATGCAAAGTAATATTTTCACTTGATATCAGAGACTTATCTTATTTGTTATTTTGTTTTAAGTGATGACCCTTAAAGGGATAGTTCACACAAAAATTCTTTGATCGCTTATTCACCCTCATGTTGTTCCAAACCTGTATGAATTTTGTTCTTCTGTGGATCATAAAAGAAAATATCTTGAAGAATGTTGTTAGCCAAACAGTTTTGATTACTATTGACTTCCATTATATGCACAAAAAAAAAACTCAAAATAGCTACTATTATGTTAGAAAGAAATTCATAGAGGTTTGAGGGGGAGTAAATGATGACAGAATTTACATTTTTGCGTGAATTTTCCTTTAAAGGGGTTCTATTATGCTTTTTCACTTTTTCAACTTTAGTTAGTCTGTAATGTTGCTGTTTGAGCATAAAAAAAGATCTGCAAAGTTACAAAGTTCACTTCAAAAGGAGATATTTTATTTAACAGAAATCACTTTTTAAAAAAACTACAACGAACGACTCGTTTGGACTACAACGCATATTTTCTGGGATTTGTGATATCACAAATATCGACGAATGGGATGAGTGAAATCACAGCACACACTGGCCCAGCTAACCAATCACAGCACACACTGGCCCAGCTAACCAATCACAGCACACACTGGCCCAGCAAACCAATCACAGCACATCTCGTATTTCAGAAGGAAGGCCTTCATTTGATACAGGAACTATTCAAGCTGTTCATGCCAAACTGGGGAGAGAGGGTGTTGTAATAATGTTTTTCGAACAACCTAGTATGAGAGCCTGTTCTAGTACATCCCCCAAAACAAAATCAAGACTTTGTAAATGAGTATAATAGGACCCCTTTAAAATTGTGTTTGCATGCACAGCTTCGGTTTGGAATTGATTCCTTGTTTTTCTTCCTTGTCAGTTATGTTTATGCCATCTTGGTTTAATTCCTCACCCATTGTTTCTTCCTAACATCTAATCATCTGAGTCACAATCTCTACCTCTTCATACTACATGAATAGACTCATTCTCCAGGGAATGGTAGTTTATTTTGTAACCGGTTTGTGGGAACATTTTAATTGAGTCATTGCCTGCAGCTGTTATTACACTTTTGACAAACCAAATACTTCTTAATTTCTCGCTCTCAGCTCATGTTCCGTAAGATGAGGGGTCTCAGCGAGTTTCCGGAGAACTCTCCCTCTATTGGAGACGTGCTGTCCCATTTAACCTCCACGGTGGAGCTGGACTTTGGGGCGGAACACCCTCTCCGTGTCACTATGCTGCCGAACCCCTCCCACCTGGAGGCCATCAACCCTGTGACGCAAGGAAAGACTCGTGGCCGTCAGCAAGTCAAACAGGACGGCGATTACTCCGCTGACCCTCATGCACAACCAGGAGACAAAGTCATCTGCCTGCAGGTCCTGAGCAGAGATGTTTCAATCAGTTTTAGGATGTCTGTATTAGTTTCCAGATTAGTAAAGTTCACTAATAACAACATTATACACCTTGCTAATACGTAGTAGTTGATGATATAACGTAATAGTTTATCTGTTCTGTGCAGGTTCATGGCGATGCTTCGTTTTCAGGCCAAGGCATCGTAACCGAGACATTCACCCTGTCAAATCTCCCCCATTTTAGAGTAGGTGGAAGCATCCACCTCATCGTGAACAATCAAGTGGGCTACACCACTCCCTCAGAGAGGGGCCGATCATCTCTGTACTGTAGTGATGTTGGTATGTACATGCCAGAGTGTGAGTGATGTATTTATTTATTTTAGTTTCCCCAGTATATGGATTTCCATATTTTCCAGCCTGAGATGTGGGACCCAAGATTGGCCTGTCGCAATTATTATTATTGATTAATTGTCTCATTGTGTCTCATTCAGTCTGATTGCAATTATTTGAGATAACCACAATAATTGTGTGGTTTAAATGTCAATCACATTTTTCCATCCAAATAAGGGAAATTTATATAATGGTTATATTAAATTATAAATTTACCCAACAGTAGTTAACGTGACCGTACCTTTGAGGTTTCCCTGCAATTTTCAAAGCAAATTAAAGCTCTATGGCTTAACATTTGAAAGCAAATAAACTTAAGAAAGCATAAATGTAAGCATTGTAATTTTGTTGTTTTGTAAAATAAAATAATAATTATTATTATTACTACTACTAATAATAATAATAATACAAAAAAATTTATTTAACAATGCAATAGTATTATTGCAATAATGATATTTCTTTATTAATTTAATGTAAAAAATTTTTAACTTATTATAATTTA